GTCTGCTTCCTGATACTTAAATCTCATAGAAATCAAGTCTCCAAATAATAAAGAAGAGGAAAAGACCATGAAGGATGTCTCAGGCTTTGGGTCTTTATGTCTGAGCGTGGCTTCCGTTTAGCCTTGGTATTGATCCTGGATAGTTGTCCAAAATAACTGATGTATCCTGCCACTCCCCCTCTCCCTCCATTTGTAGTTTTTGTCTTTAAAACCTGCCTGAAGGTTGTTGGATCTAGGACAGAGATTCAAGGCTGTTTGACTATGTGGCTCCCTGGTTACAACACTCCTGCTTTGTAATTTATAGGCCCAAACAAACACTTTTGTACTTGTGCTGTTTCTTTAAGCGTCAGCACTGCCAATACCAAGGCAGATGTGGCTAAAGTCAGTTTTACTTCCTTGTGCACCAAATGTACAAATAAGGTGTGAAAAACATATCGCGAATAGATGATAAAACTTCCGAGGGCCTCCTTCGTTCTCCAGAAGGTACGGTGAGAATTTTGTGGTTTCAGAAGCCCACTGAGAATGAGGAATCTTCCAGATCACAGGAACCCAGAACCGGCGGCTCGCTCTTTCTCAGCCTTGTGTGGGGGAGAGTGGGTATGTCAGCTCTCAAGAGTGCAGCTTAGCTCCGTGATAAGGCTTTCTCTGTCCTGCAATGTACTTCTGCATTTCATTTTTTTGCTGGCCCATCGAGCCCATTTGAGATTCCAGAGAGGCAGATGGGCCAGCAGCTGTTACCAAAATTATGATTTTCTGAGGGAAGTTTTCATGAAAGTTTTCATTTGTTTTTGTCTTTCATTTTGTGTCTTAGTCTACTCTAAGCTACAAAGGGAACCTCCAAATAGGTACGAGAGCTAGTTTTCCACCTGAATAGTAATGTCTACCAAACACAAGCCTGTTTTAAAAGGACCATATTTAAAACTTTAGTTTCTTTACTAATTACTATCCTTCTTTCTTCTATTTAACCATGGACAGTATCACTGTTTATCAGCTCAACACACAATGAAATCAAAGCTTTTACAGCTTTTACATGTATAGACCAAGCCAATCTTGTATTAGGCTGTCTGTTTCCTGATACTTAAATCTCATCGAAATCAAGTCTCCAAATAATAAAGAAGAGGAAAAGACCATGGAAGAAGTGACTTTGCTGGGTCAAGGTATATGTGCATTTTATATAATCGTATATATTTTTAATTCTTTTTTAAGATGTTGCCGGAGGGCACAGGTGCTCACCAGACAGAGATAGAGAAACAGAGAAAGAGAGAGAGGGAGAAGCACCCCCTAATGGAGATACTTTTTCTCTACCCAGAGATTTTGGGCACACATGCACACATGGAATGCTTTCAAATCACTGAGTCCAGGACTTGGAATCATGGTCAGTCATATGGGATCTGGCTCCGTTAAGCCCTAGGCCACAGGGCCTGCTCTATAATCATACACACACACACACACACACACACAGAGTTTTTTTCCCTTAAGTTTTTATCACAGGGCATATGTGCTTGCTGGAGAGAGACAGTGGGAAGGAAGCTAAGGAATCATCCCCTAGAGCAAATGGTGACACCACAATACCTTCTTCTCCATTCTCCTCTCAGAATTTTGAGTATGCACACACAAGTGCCCCATGTGATTTTCAAGCCATTGGGTCTGGGACTCAAACCATGGTTTGCTATGTGAGAATCCAGCGCCTTAACTACCATGCCACCTGCTAGCCCCTATAATCTCCTATTTTGATAGATTTTCCTGGAGTGTTTCCCTGAAGGGGTTGTTAATTCCTTTTCTTCTTATCTCTCTAATCCTGTACTTGTTGGTACCAGATGTTGCTGGCTTATGGGATAAAGTATCATTTCCTCTAATATTTACTTTGTTATGCCACTCATTTCTTGGAATATTTCTGTATTCTTTGGTCTTAAATGAGTCCCTCATGAACTGATTACACCTGAATTTTGTTTCCTACCAAACGCCCGAATTTGAAGTCATTATTGTTATCAGCTGGGGAGTCAGTTTAGGGCCGATGTCCTTCCAGAAGTTTGTATAAGGTTGCAGTGGTCTTTTGTGCAAGGTTGTGGTTCCAGCAGAGTCTTTGTGGCAGTTCTGTCATCAGGCACACATGAGAACAGTAACTGCCTCCTCCCACCCCCGCCACCATTCCCCACTCCTCCCAGCCTGCCATAGCTTTCTCCAGCTGCACCAAGTCAGAGCTTAGTAGGAGTTGACACAAAAGACTCCATATTGGCTCTGACAACTTTCACAGGAGTCTGGCATGCCACACTATTAAGTGCAATACATTTACGTTTTAAAAACTATTTATCAAAACTTTATTGGTACAGAAATCTTACATCCTCATCATAAAATTGTTACATTTTCGGTCCCAAGTCTCAAGAATTCTAGAAATTGCAAGTGCATTCAATATTGAATTGAAATAAGGAAGCCAAAAGAAGAGAATTAAAAACTTAAACACTTATGGTAAATAAAGTACTACACAAAAGAAAGAACTATGCATATTTATGGAAACATTGCTGATGGCGCAGTTCTACTAATGTCACAGACATTTTACTGTTTAATGTACATTTTATCTTGGTGAAAAACAATAGTATTCTTTGCTTTTCCATTTATTTATCCTGAAGTACATATAATTCTCATGAGGTATTACTTAGATGTTACAAAATGCAAGGTAAGGGGACCAGCAGTTAGTGTAATGGCTATGTTGCTGAACTCCCACGTAGCCACCATGGTTCGAGTCCCGAACCCGGTGGCTTAAACTCATGCCGGGCGCATGTGCGTGCATGCCCAAGATCCCAAGAGGAGAACGGAGGAGAAGGAATTGCAGCGTGGCCATCCCCCCTGGGGGGGTGATTTCTTGCTATCTCTCTGTCTTTCTGGAGAGCGCATGCACCCTATAGCAAAAAAACCTCCCCCCCCAAAAAAAAACGCAAGGTAAGTTCCTGACCAAGTCAAATCTAGGGTCAAAGAGGGCCACAAAATTCCAAGAAATTATTTAAAATCAAACTTAACAAAACATATACTGGGGCATCTCTTTAGCCCATCCAAACTGGATCCCGTTTCTGACTACAGCACCAGAGAAAGGTCTGTGGAAAGTGTGACTGACCTTTGTGATATTGCTCCAGGGTGGACTGGATAACACCCTCCCTTCCCAGCCAACATCCTCATCTTCTCTTAATTCAAATAAACCAGCCCACCTGTGAATCAACTCAAATCTTTCTAAAACTTATTTACATTTTCATACAGATCCTTATGTGCAGTTATGAACTTACATTACCTATCTTATAGAAACAATTAAGAAACGCATCTAGGTAGGCAGATACTGCAGAAAGCAAGAGGTTCCCTTGATTATGTAATAGGGCAATACACTAAAGTATTTATATTACAGTACAGTTTAATCCAAAATATACAAAGCAATCTAATTCTGCAACTTTCACAGGATCTCCTAGAAATGCAATAGTGTATAGATTAGACGGGTGTAGTGAGTATCTTCTTTTTCTTTTCGGTGACTACAGATTCAATTTCAAAAGTATACCCTAGACGTTTTGTATGCATGTGAGACTCAAGCAAATAATGGATTTTTCTGGCTTGTTTGATAAACCTTGACCTCTAATTTTTAATAATCTGATATTTGGTAACAAAGTCTCCAGTTTCCTGATCTTTACCCCTCACATTTTATACCCAAATTTATACAAGTGGTAAAAATCAAATAAATGATTAATTTCAGGTAGGAGAAAGCAAGGAAATGGAAGAATGCAAATGAAGTTTTTTTGTTTGTTTGTTTTTGTTTTTGTGGATTGGCCATTTTTTTCCTTGGAAGTAAAACTGGTTGGGCAATTCCAGGATACTACGATTTAAAACATTTAAAAAGCAGAGTATTGTAGTAGCATAGTGTAGGGCAATGGGGAAGGGTGTTTTGAGGCTAAACAATTACAGCTCTGTCTGGACATCTTCAGCTCCACATAGATCCTGTACTCCGCAAGTTTACTTTTAGGTAGGCTACTGATCTCCCCCCCACCGCCCCCCAGGCCCAGCACCCTGCATCTGTCAGCTGCAAAGGATAGCTGACAGCAGGCAGCTGTTCTGGCTGATTTCTTGAGGCTTCTTATGTTAAACAACATATCCAAAACTCAGACTTGAGTTCTGCAGGCATTATTCCATCTGTCTGATTTCGTGTCGACATAGACAACATCGCACGTACTCTTCCTTGTGACCATTTAAATACTAGCCAGTAGCCAAGTCCTCAGAGTGGGAAGATTCTTTTCCAGCCACTTAATATTTTTGTCTATAGTTTCCAGAACAGTTTGAAAAATATCCAGATGTAATCCTTGGGCCTTAAGAGAGTCAAAGAAAAGTTTCACCTGAAAAATATGCCAGAAAATAATTACTAACCATTCATAAAACACTTTCTCTTAAAAAATTTGCAATTACGCATACATACAGATGCAAACATTTCTCTGCCAACTTTAAAGAGTTACTTGCTTATTCTTTTTTGTATAATTGGTACCTTTATTTTCAAACAACAGATACAGTAAAACAGGAATTGTACATCTTTGCTTACAAGGGCACACACCCTGGGCAAAGAAGTAAAGTGAATTACCCAGGTTAGAATGTGAATGTCGAGCTGGGATTTAAGTTCAGGACTTCTGAATTTGCTTAAAAGATAAATACATTTAATATTTATTGCAAAATGAATGTAAAACACTAGGCTATAACAGGAAGACATTAAAATACTAGAATGTTTTTCTAAAAAGATTATTAGAGGTGTCATCAGGTAGCATAGTGGTTAAGGTGCTGGATTCACACATGGTTGGCTGCAGTTCTAGTCCTGGACCTGGCAGCTTAAAATTCATGCCAGGTGTGTGTGCATGCTGCCCAAAACCCCTAGAGGAGAATGGAGGAGAAGAATTTGTGGTGTGGCCATCCCCACTGGGAAGTGATTTCTTGTTTTCTGTTTCTGTTTCTCTCTGTCTCTCCGGCAAGGGCTCTGTCTGGACATCTTCAGCTCCACATAGATCCTGTACTCCGCAAGTTTACTTTTAGGTAGGCTACTGATCTCCCCCCCACCGCCCCCCAGGCCCAGCACCCTGCATCTGTCAGCTGCAAAGGATAGCTGACAGCAGGCAGCTGTTCTGGCTGATTTCTTGAGGCTTCTTATGTTAAACAACATATCCAAAACTCAGACTTGAGTTCTGCAGGCATTATTCCATCTGTCTGATTTCGTGTCGACATAGACAACATCGCACGTACTCTTCCTTGTGACCATTTAAATACTAGCCAGTAGCCAAGTCCTCAGAGTGGGAAGATTCTTTTCCAGCCACTTAATATTTTTGTCTATAGTTTCCAGAACAGTTTGAAAAATATCCAGATGTAATCCTTGGGCCTTAAGAGAGTCAAAGAAAAGTTTCACCTGAAAAATATGCCAGAAAATAATTACTAACCATTCATAAAACACTTTCTCTTAAAAAATTTGCAATTACGCATACATACAGATGCAAACATTTCTCTGCCAACTTTAAAGAGTTACTTGCTTATTCTTTTTTGTATAATTGGTACCTTTATTTTCAAACAACAGATACAGTAAAACAGGAATTGTACATCTTTGCTTACAAGGGCACACACCCTGGGCAAAGAAGTAAAGTGAATTACCCAGGTTAGAATGTGAATGTCGAGCTGGGATTTAAGTTCAGGACTTCTGAATTTGCTTAAAAGATAAATACATTTAATATTTATTGCAAAATGAATGTAAAACACTAGGCTATAACAGGAAGACATTAAAATACTAGAATGTTTTTCTAAAAAGATTATTAGAGGTGTCATCAGGTAGCATAGTGGTTAAGGTGCTGGATTCACACATGGTTGGCTGCAGTTCTAGTCCTGGACCTGGCAGCTTAAAATTCATGCCAGGTGTGTGTGCATGCTGCCCAAAACCCCTAGAGGAGAATGGAGGAGAAGAATTTGTGGTGTGGCCATCCCCACTGGGAAGTGATTTCTTGTTTTCTGTTTCTGTTTCTCTCTGTCTCTCCGGCAAGGGCACACACCCTATAGCAAACATCTCTAAAAAACAGAGACTAGGCTTACCAACAATAGTAGTTTCATTAAAAAGACCTCTCAGTATACTTTCAAACTTTAACATAATCACTCTTGTGTCATGATACAATATAAATGAAATAAAATATAATGAATTGGATTCATTCAAATACTATATGAACACATGTATTCTAAGAGGCAGGTTGTCATCCTCCCCCTTCCTTTACTTGCTATGTGGTCATGGCCACACAACTTTTTTTTTTTTTTTTTTTTTTTTTTTTTTAACAAAATGAGAATTTGAAAACATATCACATCTAAGTTTACTTGCAATTCTACAATTTGGACATTTATTCTGAAATTGTTGGCAAGAGAAAGTCACAAACCTCTTGGAACTCATCCTTGGAAGAAAAATGAGATGTTGTGCCAGATATGATCATTCGCACGGCAAAAGAGCCCAAGTCAAACCTGGAAATGGAAAGGGTGGAAGTAAGTGGAATATGGATTTATAGCATTGAAATATACGCTACGTATTCATATGTAATAAACTTTATAACAGTAATTATTATATAACCAGTACACATATTACAACAGATACTATCAACTACCATAAGACTAGCTCCTAGTCACCCAGTACAATCCAAAGTCCTGAAATTTACTAAATTTGGTATAAAATAAAAATATAGGTACAGAAGTGGCTCAGTGTTCCTCAACTTGAGCGCTATATGCAAGATTAGGTGCCTGGTTCCTCGGTTGACCTGTACATACTGGCACATTCATCTGTGAGCTTGGCCAGCTGAGAGGCTGGGGGGGATATCTAGGCATTTGAGACTGTTGAGGAGACTTGTCTTTCCTTCTCTTTCTCTCTCTCAGAAAAGAAAAAAATAAAGGGGCTGGCAGGTGGCGTGGTGGTTAAGGGCGCTGGACTCCCACATGGCCTACTGTGGTTCGAGTCCCAGACCTGGTGGCTTGTGCACTTTCTCTCTCTCTCTCTCTCTTCCTCTCTGACCAAATTAAAATAAAATAAAATAATAAAGATAAAAATAAAACAATCATTTAAAAAGAAAAGAAAAGAAAAAAATAAGCTTTTTAAAAAAGTAGTTAAAAAAGTGAAAGGGTAGATAAAGCATAACATGGTTTTGTTTTTCAGCAATGTTTACTTTTCTTTAAATCTTTTTTTTTTGGGGGGGGGAGGTTTTTGCTATAGGGCACGTGCACTCGCCAGAAAAACAGAGAGAGACAGAGAGACAGAAAGCGAGAAATCACCCCCCACAAGGGGGATGGCCATGCCACAATCCCTTCTCTTCCATTCTCCTCTCGGGATCTTAGGCACGCATACACATGTACCCTGCGTGAGTTTAAGCTACCGGGTCCAGGACTCAAACTGTAGTCAACCACGTCAAAGTCCAGCCACGTAGCCATTACGCCAACTGCTGGTCCCGGGCAATGTTTACTTTTATGTTTATGTTTAAAATGGCATTCTATCTTTTTAATTATGTACCCCTATTGGTAAAGATTTTTTGAATGGGAAATTCCTAATTGACACCTTTTTACTTATAAATGATAGGTACATATTGTAGTATGGTAAGAAGAAAAACACTTAAAAGCATGTTATAAGAAATAACATAAACAATGTTTTCATTTAACTTTTATAAGTGATGTATTATTTATGTCTATACATTTATAATAAATAATAAATAATATCACATTAAAAGCATGAGATAAGAAATAACACATGTAGTACTATCTTCTCTTGCACTCTATCGTTTTGCACACGTCCCCATCCTATTCTGGATCTCCGTGTGTCTAAACATGTTTACTGAGGCCATGTTACTTGGTTGAACTCTCGTTCACAGTTGTGGGCAGCATCCTTCACCCCAAAGTCTTACATATAGAGAACTTGTACTACAGGTCAAAGTGCTTCATGCTGAGAATGCAGAGCTCAGGAAATTGTTCCAAGTCTAGGTATGCACATGGTTGGGCAGGAGCATAATTTCCAAGTACAAAAGAAATCCACAGCAATATATATATATTTTTTTTTAAAAAAAAGGTCTGATCATCTGATCATTTTATTAGGAAATTGTCATGCACATAACCAATCCAGGGGTGCCAGTAGGGTCTCTATGGAAACACACTTTTT